TATTTTTCAAATGCAGCTTTATGCTAGATGCATTAGAACGTCAGTCACATCGGGTTTCTGTACCTCATCAATTCACGTTTCATGGCTAAAAAATATTCATAGCGACAACTGAACCTATTGAAAAGAATGCTAAGTGAATCTTCTTTGCTCCGAGCATGTGATCCATTAAATGTAGCTTTCCGCTTTCTGAAACGCATAAATCAACTTATATTTTTCTGTAAAATAAAGTTCTTTCGTGATATCATTCAAAGAATAAACTATAATTAATTAATTCATCGAAGGAAATATAATTTAAACCTTATTTTAACGTTACAAGATGAAATTATGGCTTTCAACGTTAATTAGCCATTGGTCACCTTAAGATCTCACTGTTACATTAGATACAAGTAGTCAATTTATGCACATTCGAATAGCAATAATAAATCATTTCTTCAGACCGCCATTTTTTAAACAGATGAAAATTCGGCCTAAAATAACGTTGCTCTCCAGTCGGTATACAATTCAAAATTTGGTCATTATTTAGCTATTACTTCAATTGCAAATAGCCAAAATCGCATGGTTACATGCGATTTCCTGATTGCTATCTTCACCGTAATATAAGGATAATAAAGCCTGAATGGTATGTTATTAAATGGAATTAGTCATATTTGATCCACATAAAATATTTGTCAGATCCATATTAAGCAATAAATGAGCGTTTGCATTCGATTGTGAGAGATTCAGTTTGCAACTGCTGGATTTTCTGTTAGACCTCCCGTCTTGCGCAAGAACGATGCCGTCATCCGCAAATAACGCACACTACGTCCTGTCAGTACTAAGAGCATTAAACGAGTTTAATCCGTTGAAGAGCGCTAGTGAGATGGCATCTCCTTGGCGCATTCTTTGATTGATACTGACATGGATTCAGCGCTAATATTAAAGTAACACTGTCCGCTTTCGAAAGGAGAAGATTTTCTGCTTGAATCGCTAAAACCATAGCACATCTTTGGTCATTTTAAATAAGACAAAATGAAATGCCTAGCCTTAGAAACAATTATTCTTCTGAGGTTGACCTCAGCTGATGACAATCCTTAAGTTGTTAAAGTTTTTTTCTGTTTTTTCATCCATCTGCAAGCCGATCAAATTCATCATCTCAGCATCGAGTGTAAAGTTTTAATTACGAACAACAGGTCACGTTATCTGACAATGAATTGAAGCAAACATTACCTGGAAATTTATAGACGTTGCAAGCCAGCGTACTCGAAAGTTGCTGTTCAGACGCTGGATAATTTCAACCACTATGAAAAACGAAGTGAGACATGGAGTACACGGTTTACTGTTCATTGGTTTAAGCTGAAATATCAATGTAACTAAGAACGATATCGAAATTCAACTCTGTTTCACCTCGTGACAGACCAGTTAGGAAGATACACTGTATCGCAACAGGATAAATAGTATTAGAACAGTCGTAACAAAGAGAACAAGTACAAGAATAATACAGCATTGAAATGAATATCGTCTCAAGTAGCAAACTTTGACCTTCGTTTGTTCCTCTTCTACGTTACGCTGGTCCCCTGAAACATTCTGCAGCAACGCATCGTATTTGCGCATTAAGAGACAAAGTTTTGCTTCAAGAATCTCAGCATCATTTTCTCGTTGTTCATCTACTTGTCTAACCCAATGGAGCCTCATACGAAGCATGAAAATTTGCCATTCTAATGAGCTTGATCCGTTTCTTGAGTAACGCGATAAGAGCAATTTGTCTTCATCTTCGGAAACGTCTTCGCTTTCTGCTTTCATTGCGCGTGTCAGTGAAGCTCGTTTCCTCACAACCTCTACTTGCTGTTTTCTTCCATATAAATTCGATATATATGCCAGCATTTTTTCAGATTGACCTAATTCATAGATGGATAGGTACCAACAAAAGCAATTCTTCTTGGTCCGACATGATTGATCTTCATGTGATTTTGAGTATTAGTAGACTGTACTTCTGTTACTATTACTTGGGCGGAATTGATATAAAGGTGTCAAAACGAATTCAGTAAAGGTTAAAACTATTCTGTTATTTCTTCCGTTTTAATCCATCCAATTTAAACTGAATATTACAACAGATCATCGCTGATGACGTTCGTCACTTAGTAACTCAAGTGTAGCAATACACGGATCAACACTGAATATTATGAATTGACTTCTGACCGATAATGAGACTTTTACGTGAGAGGTGGGATATGAATAAAGACTTCTGGTGATTAGCCTATAATATACTTACAATCAGTTTCGGAAAACCCAAGGCCTCCACTACAGTATCTTTCAGTTTGTAAATTTGAATTTAAGAACTAATGAATAATATCCCCTCATAAAAGCATACCTGCTGTGCGTTGCCAATCAACCATTTCGATTTAAAATCGGCAATCATGATCATTTCGAAGAAACGCATAGCGGATAGACTTCGCTAAATTTTCTTTATAAAATTGATACGAACCGTTGCAGTATTCCTTGCCCAGACATGTACCTGAAGCATGTATTTCTTGAAAAGAATTGCCTTTGCAGCAAAAAGAGGTCTGTGAACTTTCAATCATTACTATTTACATATTCAACGGATTCAGTCGTTAGCAATGATAGATGTCATACCTCGTTCAACGACTACAAGTTTTGCATATTTTCATTATTACGATTGATTACCCATATCTTCATCATTCAACTGGCGTAGACATAACAAAAA